AAGACTAAGTGGAGGGACGTCTCAGCGATGAGTTCAACCACGAAAAGCTATTGGGCCCAATGGGACAGCTTGCTGATTCAGGATGGAGTCCTGTGCCGTAAATGGGATAGTGGTCGAAGGGACAGCTGTCGTTTGCAAATGGTTGTCCCTAAAGCTAAAGTGCCGAATGTTCTACAGCTGTGCCATAATGGTCGTTCAAGAGTCCATCTGGGAGTTAAACGAACTCTACTGAAGGTCCGAGAACAGTTTTACTGGGTCCATTATCGTGACGATGTCGAGGATTGGTGTCGTACATGTACAAGTTGTGCGGCCGTGCGGGGACCTCAGACACGTAGTAGAGGAGCACCGAAATTGTACCATGTTGGTGCATCACGGGATAGAACAGCCCTTGACATTGCGGAGCCGTTACAGAAAGGCGCAAGAGGGACTCCTAAGATCGTCCATGTGGATCGCTTGGCGCGTTATTATGGGACCGATAATGCTCGGGACGAGCATGTCTTAGGAGGGGGCAGTGTTGCATGAATAAGTCAACTAGCGCCATCTAGTGTCAGGAACGAGAGCGAGGGGAGCATTGAGAAAATGACATCACAAATCGCTCAACTGACAGCGCCTAGTCGAAACTCGAACGCTCGGTGCCTTCCGCGTGTTTACTTGAACATTCTGGATATTTCTTTGCTGATTCAAATATATAGGCGCTGCAAGATGCGATCGAGGCAGTGTTGATTTGGGCGAAACAAGCGAAGCTTCGGAGTGGAATTAAGTGAATTAGTGTGTTTAAATTATTAGTGTTTTAACTTTAATTGTGTAAAGTAAATTAAAGTGTTAATTTAGGTAATTTTATCGGCAATTTTTATTGTCACGAACCTCAAGCTCGTAACAATATATATATATATATATATATATATATATATATATATATATATATATATATATATATATATATATATATATATATATATATATATATATATATATATATATATTATGATAAATATATATAATAATATTTTATACGTGGTAGAGCCATGCTGCAGCTATATTAGTGGTATAGTTGTTACACGAATGGGTTGGCTCGACCGGGGGAAGGACCACGCTCTCACAGAATACCAGTGTGAAATAGTAGCTTAATGCTGTTGTGTTTCGTATGGTGAGTGTAGAGAACCGGAGAATCTTTTTTACTGGAAACGAGGCATTTCATCTCAGTCCTCGAAGGTGACAAAGCATTTGCATTTTGATTTGTAATCGAGGATAGTTATAGATGTCTGTGGGGCCGCAGCAACCGCTTACCATCAGGTGGGCTGTGTGCTCGTTTGTATCCCCATCCTATAAAAAAATTATTCTATGAAATTTGTAACTACATGCTTATCTTATTAAATAATATCATAAACATAAAAGTCTGTATGTTAGATGTTTTTTATGTTTGTTACTCAATCAATAGAATGCCTGAACCGCTAACGCTCACTAGTTACACATAGAAAAAAAAAGAAGAAAAAAGGCCTCCAACAGTATATACAAATGTTTTCATGTGTTCATGCACCCTAATTTTATATTGGATAGGAATCGAACCACAGCCATCTAGTTTTCTAGCTTACTCGTAGTACAAACCGTTAGATCATTAGCGATCACCACCATTGGTTAAATAAATTGATTTATAGAAACTTGCAAGCATATAGGTACTAATTTGGTTAGACTAAAAATTTGGAACCTATATTTGAGAGAATTATGTTCTTCAGTGGGCGCGTAGCGCGAAGCAAGAGTGAGTGAATGCTTTTGAATTAAAGCTGATGGTTAAGTTACTCTTCAGCATCTTTTTCAAGTTTTTAAATTATTAACACGATTGAAATAACGTTAGTTCATCAAAACCTATCAGCCAATACGGACAAATTTACAAACCTATTATGAAATTTTCTCAAACAAAAAGAATCATTAAATTAGAATGTATCTGTCCTGCACCAAAAATGAGGTTAAACGTCATGGGAGCTTATTGCCAAATACGATACGTAGTATTGTATGCGGTCCATCGAATTGTGGAAAAACTAACTTAGTTATCAGCTTATTGTTACATCAGAATTGGCCACTTTTCCGCAACCTTTATGTATATTCAAAGTCTTTATATCAACCTAAATATTTATTTTAAGAAAAAATACTGCAGGATATGGAAGGTACATCTTATTACCAGTGTAATCATAATAGTGAAATTTTGAGTCAACACCAAGCTTCGCCTAACTCAATTATAATATTTGACAATGTAGCTTATGATAATCAGAACAACATACGCGATTATTTCACCATGGGTCGATATAAGAACATTGACTGTTTTATATTAATCAAACGTATACAAAGATACCTAAGCAACTAGTAAGAGATAACGCTAACCTGATCATATTGTTTAAACAAGATGACATAAATCTGAGACACGTTTATGACGAACATGTAGGGTCTGACATGACATGGTCTCAGTTCCGGGAAATGTGTTCAACTGTGTGGAGTAAACCTTTCAATTATGTTGTTATAAATAAAGACTGTGAACGAAATAAAGGCTGTTACAAAATGAAGTTTGATACATTCATACTAGTAGACTAAACGTTTAAATAGCTACTATGTCACAAAGAAATCAGTTTCTGATGAGTACTCAAACAGAGTGCAATTCCTTTACAATGGAACAAGACCTTAAGAAATAAATTGTAAAATCTGCTGCAGCTGTACAAAAACTCTGGCTTTGGAAACAATATTTAAATCTATCGTTGATTCGCTTAATATGCTTACTAGAAAAACTGAATAAAAGCAGCATTTAAATGAAGATACAGACCAAGCTCATCTTATTAAACAACCTATGTACAGCGCAAGTGAGTCGCCGATTTCTTCAAGTGATGTGTTTGAAGATCCTGTTAATGATGAAGAAAACTCGGATAAATGTTTATACAAAATCCAAAAAAACACTCACTCACTCGCTTCCTGCGGATGATAATAACACGAATGAAATTTCGTTTAGATCTCATCAATCAACACCAAGTATTGCATATGATTCATTATCATTGTCTATGTCATCTGAATTACTAAAAGATGTACCTTATGGTGTCAGAAATGAACATGAGAAACTAATGCTCGGCGCATTTCGTGTCAATGATGATGATCACATCTTAAAAATTGGAAATCATAGTTTGTAAAAAAACTCCAGGCTTAAAAGAGTTATTGTTTAAAAAGCTACAAAATTTAGATATTGTAACAGAAGAAGACTTAAAAAATTATAAATTGTTACTTTTGGATACTAATGCACACAAACGTAGTTATGATCCATCCAAACCGATTAACAGTAACAAAGGATTTAAATATATGCAACTGATCAAATCATTGTTTAAGCACTCGAGAAATCATAAAAGTAGTGCAGAAAGTCTTCCAAAGGGAGAAGGAGTTGATATTTTAAAAGAAGTTAAAAAAGATATTGATTTGGTTTACTGGAACGATCCAAACGAGTTAGTGGAACAATTAAAATTACTACTTGGATCATGGACAGCTGGTAAGGGGTTTACAATGAATTTTTTGCAATAATCGAAGAATTGCATGAATCTGGTATCATAAAAGACATTAAATATATTAAGCTGCCTACAGGAGGATTACGCAGTACCATTTCATTACAGAAGCCGATAAGACGGCTTTGAATATAGACAAATTTGGTCATCATGTTCATAAGCGTTTACGACTATCTCAATGCTCTGATATTCTCAGCAACGCTTTAGTAAGAACAGACGCAGGTGATTTTGATTTGAAATCAACAGGATTAAAAGGACTGCAAACTCCTGAAAAAGAAGATAAGGCTGTGAATAAAGAATATAATGTGTAGAAATATAATGAATAGAAAAGTGTTCAAGAACTTAAAAATGAAATTAAAACAATTCACAATAATGTCAAAAAGTACCGTAGCAGTTTTGAAAAATTGACTACTAGCAATTTCGGGACATTGTATTACACTAAAAAGGAAATCCACCTCATGATTGCATCAAAACCTATCCAAAATGAGTAAACAAGATATATATCTCATTGAAGCTTCACAAAGCAGCAAGACGAAATTTTTCTCGTCAACATACGATTATTAAAGAATAGATGATTTATGTCAAGCTGACCTGATTGATTTTCAAAAATATTCAACGTTTAATAAAGGATATAAATATGTTCTAGTAGTAATCGATGATCTATCAAAATACGTATGGGTTAGACCATTAAAATCGAAACATAAAAATTGTGTCAAAAATGCGATGCAAAGTTTATTATCTGAATCAAGACGAAAACCTAAAAATTTACAAACGGATCTTGGTACAGAGTTTTATAATGTTTCTTTTAAGAATTTAATGAAAAATTATAATATAAATCATTATTCCACGTACTCCGTTAAAAAGGCCTCCATTGTAGAACGAGTAATAAGAACTTTAAAAAATCGGCTTTACAAAATATTCAGTCTATGCGGACGATATCAATGGTTCAAAAATAATTTAGATTTTGTTGTAAAGCGGTATAATAATACTTTTTACATCGCATTACAAAATTCAAGCCTATCGACGTTAATGATTCAAATGCGATTTTAGTTATATCAAACATCAAGAAGTCTCAAAAACCTAAGATATGTCAAGGACCAAAGTTTCACGTTGGCGATTACGTTCGTATAAGCAAACACAAAGGAGATTTTTATAAAGGTTATATCCCTAATTGGTCTACAGAAATATTTCGTATCGTTAAAGTCAACCAAACCAATCCTCAAACCTATCAAATAAAAGACAAACACAATCAAAAAATTCTAGGCTCTGTTTACGGTTACGATTTACAAAAAACTAAATTTCCAGACCTTTATCTTATTGAAAAAGTCGTTAAAAGAAGAGGAAATAAGCTTTTAGTAAAATGGTTAGGTTTGAGTGATGACGAAAATAGTTGGGTGGATAAAAGTAAATTAGTGGTGTAGGTATATAAATAACGAATTATTACTTAATAATCTCATTTTATATTTATCGATGAAGGATGGCAGTGGTATAATTAATAAAGTAATAGAAAATTTACCGTTTGAGTTAGATTTACCTGGCTATCAATTTTGCGGTCACGGAACGAAACTTCAAAAACGGTTACTCAAAGGCGATTGTGGGATAAACAAATTGGATGAAGCGTGCATGCTCCATGATATTGCTTACACTAACAAAGATTCGGGCGCTCGACAAAAAGCGGATTTAGAACTTTTGACAATGGCTAAGAGGAGGTCGAAATCAGAAGATGCTAGGAAAGGAGAAAAAATTGCCTCATGGATAGTCAAAAATGCAATGAAAGCGAAAATCTGGGCGGGGAGCGGTTTAAAAAAAAAAAAGGAATCTGAAAGACACAACAGAATGATGGAAGCCGTTGCTCTAAGAAAAGGATTATACATTAAACCTCATAAAAAAGGAGCAGGTTTATATCTTAACCCCTCAAAAAACTAATTAGACGGCTACCCAGACGGGCGCTCACTAACCTCGCCATATTAGAACATGCAAGTAACATTCCATACTTTCGCGGCGTTTTCATGAGAAATAAATTACCTTTGAAACCGAGAAAGATAGAATGTGGAATACTGAATTTAGATAGCTACAGAAATCCTGGAACGCATTGGGTAGCCATTGTAAAGCACAATACATACGTAGAATATTATGATAGTTTTGGTAATTTAAAGCCCCCTTTAGAATTAGTTAAATATAAGCATAACTTACCTATTAACTATAATTATGCGCGACATCCAGCGTTTGGTGCTTCAAACCGTGGACATCTTTGTTTAAATTTTTTAAGGATTTATGAAATAAATAAACGTATCAGTATAAAAATGTCTTTCTCTGTGTCTATAACTGGGACAGGCGCCTCTTTATCAACGAACTATTCACCGACAATAGAACTACGAGGAGACTACGAATGTGGCCTTTTGTATTTTTCAACTTTCAATTCTATTCCAATAAATAAAATCCAAAACAATAAATTTTATTATGGTGGAAAAGAAATGAACGAAATTCCTAAAGGGAGCTTCAAGATATTTATGATTATCTAAAAAATAATATTAAGAACACTGTACTAAAAGTAACTTGTAACAAATATTTTTTTCTCTGAAGATGTGCACTTTAATAGAAGCGAATCACTGGGTAAAATTTTAGGCTTTGGTATGGAAACAATAAAAGCAAATATAAGTACTGAATCAAAGTATCCTGTCAGTATTCTATCGACAACCATCGTGCGGATTGATTGCGATGTAGTTAGTGGTTCGTTTGTCAACGGGAAAGCAAGCCATATAATTTATGAATTTGCACCTAATGTACCACCTGGCTATCGAATAATTGAAATACCTAGAAGCTTGATTTATTTCCCTGTTAACCAAAGTTCCATAAGTGCTATCAATATAAAGTTATTGAACGCTGAGAATAAAGAGATAAATTTACCAGGTGAAGAAGTAAAACTGTATTTACATTTCCAAAAAAAAATATGATAAATTTCAATAAAAACCCGTCTACTTCGTGTATCCAAGCCAGTTTTAAAAGAACATCTCATAAAGGCACACCTCTTCAGCTAAAAAAAGAAGATTACCAAGTCTAACAAAGAATTTATTAAGCTAGTTGGCTTGATAAAATGAATATTTTAAACGTATCTCAACAAACATCATACGATAACTGCATTGAAAGTTTTGAGTATCATTCATACAAACCATATGTAACTAGTTTTAACAAGAATGACGAAATACGTATTCCTATTAATCAGCAAGACCTTTACGTACTACCTTTACTCAGTAGTTTATATATCGAGGGAAAGGTTAACGTTTACAACAGCACCACAAAAGAAAAGGTATCAAACGTACATTTTGTCAATAATCCTATGTTATTTCTTTTTCAAGACATACGGTATGAACTTAATGGAGTAGAAATAGATAAAATTAAGAATGCTGGTGTCACTACTACAATAAAATATCCTTAAGTGAAAATGTATCCAAATGTGCTCGAGTTTGGGGCTGGTCAACTGGCGGAACAAGCATTACTAGCGGTGGAGCGTTTTCCGCGTCTATACCATTGAACAAGATATTAGGATTTGCAGAAGATTATGAAAAAATTATAATTAATTGTAAACATGAGTTAGTATTATTACGAAGCAATACAAATCTTAATGCGATCAAGTTAAATACAGGTGAAGTTGTAGAAGATATTATAATAAATAAAATTGTTTGGCGAGTTCCACACATCAAATTATCAGATTGTGAAAGAATTAGCCTATTAAAACATTTAGAGAAAAATAGAGCTATTCCATTGGCATTCCGTTCCTGGGACTTATATGAGTATCCATTGCTACCCAAAACACGTAAACATACTTGGTCTATAAAAACTTCAACGCAAATAGAGAAACCACGGTTTGTGGTCATTGCCTTACAAAGCAACCGCAAACATAACGCGAAATTATCAATGGCAGAGTTTCATCATTGTCACGTACGAGATGTAGTCTTTTTAAATTCATCATGTTATCCTTATGAGGGGCTGAATGTCAGTTTTTCAGAAGATAAGTTTACTTTATTATACAATCAGTATGCGAGATTTCAACAGTCGTATCATGGACGCCGGTCAGAGCCGTTATGGGTTTAAAGGAGTTCAGAGACGTGGCTCCATTATTTGTAATTGATTGTTCAAGACAACACGAAACTTTAAAAGGTTCGATCGATATGAGAGTTGAAATCGAAACAGAACAAGAAATACCAGATCGGACAATCGCTTATTGCTTGATATTAAACGACTGTATATTCGAATACAAACCACTGAGTAATATCGTTAAGAAAATATCAAGAATAGCAATACAATATTCGTCGATCATCAAGGCTTCAAAATAGCAAAAATGAATTTATAGTAAAGGAGTTTGCCATAGCCACTTTAGAGTACACCAATATATTCCTAATTAAAACCCATTCACTTCACTATCTCTTGAAGAGAAAAAACAAATTGGCTGGATTGAAAAGCACAGAGGGTATCGATGGAGATGGAGAGAGGGCTTTCTTGATTATAGAGAGTTTCACAGAATTATAAAGACATATTTAAAGATAAAAAGATTTTTTAAAAGGATGTGAAAAAATTAAATGGGTGCAAGATATTTGTGATAAAAATAATACTATCGTAGATATAAGTTGCTTAGGAGCTACCAATTTAAATACTTTTGTTGAACTTTATTGTAAAGATACTTTGCTGTATAAAATGAGTAATACTCATAAGAAAATATGTGCGTTAAAAATGTTTTATGTATTAAGAAATGGTGTTTTGAAAACAAAATGATTGTTAGATTTCCAATAAAATATATGTAAATAAACACTTCATATTTTAATTTAAACTACCTTTGTGTTAGAGAAGAAGAAAAAATATAGTTTCAGACCGCTAACGATTAGTACTTATTATTAAAGTAACTGTTTTTTGTACTACCTTGAATTTTTAACGATGTAATAGATTGGCCTTCATATTTTGTTGTTATATTATTGAACTATTTGTATTTGAGATTCCGAATGAAACGGTATTAGAAATGGAGCAAACATAAAAAAAGCGGTTCGAGGATTAGATTTAAAAATTTAGACCTCTAATGGAGAGAATTGGGGCCTTCAGCGGCATGTAGCTCGAGCGAAGCGAGAGCAAGTGACGCAGAAGCCCCAATTCTCACCTACTCTTATTAACTAAAGTATACATAGTTTAAATTGATTCCGCTAGATTTCGTTACTAGGTTTTTAAAACGCGTTAAAGAAATGTTTCCTGACATGTACTTAACTCCCGCCGTTGAGCCGCGCGTCAACTTATAGTGCATACGGTACCTATACGCTTAAATTGTTTCTATTTCGTAGCTTATTTGACTACCTGCTTTCGATTTCGGTTGTTTGTTATTTGCTTTGTGATTTGGTTAAGGTTGAATGGATTTATATTGACTTCCATTTTCGGATTTGTATATTTTCTTTGATCGGTTTTGTTGGTTTGGTTGGTATTCCTTTATACATATTGTTACGAGCTTGAGGTTCGTGACAATAAAAATTGCCGATAAAATTACCTAAATTAACACTTTAATTTACTTTACACAAATTAAAACTAAAAACACTAATAATTAAACACACTGATTCACTTAATTCCGCTCCGAAGCTTCGCTTGTGTCGCCGAGTTCAACTCTGCCCGCTCGCATCTTGCAGCGCCTAGTTATATAAATTAGCAAATATCCAGAATGTTCAAGTAAACACGCGCAAGGTACCGAGAGTTCGAGTTTTAAACTTCAAGAAGTTTAGTTCTTCGGTTCAAGACTAGATGGCGCTAGTGCGCCGATTTGAGCGCGGCGTAACACTGCCCCCTCCTAAGACATGCTCGTCCCGAGCATTATCGGCCCCATAATAACGCGCCAAGCGATTCACATGGACGATCTTAGGAGTCCCTCTTGCGCCTTTCTGTAACGGCTCCGCAATGTCAAGGGCTGTCCTATCCCGTGGTGCACCAATATTGTACAATTTCGGTGCTCCTCTACTACGTGTCTGAGGTCCCCGCACGGCCGCACAACTTGTACATGTACGACACCAATCCTCGACATCGTCACGATAATGGACCCAGTAAAACTGTTCTCGGACCTTCAGTAGAGTTCGTTTAACTCCCAGATGGACTCTTGAACGACCATTATGGCACAGCTGTAGAACATTCGGCACTTTAGCTTTAGGGACAACCATTTGCAAACGACAGCTGTCTCTTCGACCATTGTCCCATTTACGGCACAGGACTTCATCCTGAATCAGCAAGGTGTCCCATTGGGCCCAATAGCTTTTCGTGGTTGAACTCATCGCTGAGACGTCCCTCCACTTAGGCTTGGTAGCACGGGCCTTCATCCATCCCAGAATCGGCTTGATGTCCGGATCTTCCTGCTGTGCATGTCGTAGGCTGTCCTTCCACCCGTTGCTGAGGTGGTCTGTCCTGAGCATCCTCACGGATACCACCTCCTTACTCTCCTGCCTAGTACAATGATTGCAATCTTCAGGACAAGGTCTTCTTGACAATGCATCTGCGTTGCCGTGAGATTTCCCGCTGCGATGTTCGATAGTAAGGTCGTATTCCTGCTGCTGCTAGGCGGTGCTGTTAGCCGCACTTCCTTTCTGAGACCGTTCACCTTTCCTTCCTAGGGTGTGCTTGGGGCAGCTGGACCGAATATGGCCCCTTTCCCCACAACCATAGCACCTGGGGCTGTATCCTTTATTGTGGTCGCGAACTGTAACTGCGGCACCCACCCTAGCGCTAGAGGAACGACGATCCTGCCACCGCCAGGCGGTGCCGTTAGCTGCACGACCCTCTCGAGATCGATCAACTCTCCTTTCCACGGTTCGCTTAGGGCAGCTGGATCGAAGATGGCCCTTTTGCCCACAGCCATAGCACCTTGGGCTGTATCCTTTGTTGCGGTCGCGAACTGTAGCTGCTGCAAC